TCTCAGAAGGAGGTGTTCAGCTGTTTTCCCTTATCTGCCATAGAGGTAAATTTTATCTCCCAGTCAGCAAATCTTCACATAATCTTTATGTTTAACCTCTTCTGACCATGTGATCAGTTTAACCAGTGTTCATGCATATTTCTGCAGACCTTATTCGGTATGATGGCCATGCAGAAGCAGGTGGAAATGGGGAACGCCAAGGCTCGTAAGTTCTCTGACAGCCTCGAAGTGGCCCATAAAGAAAATAATATCCTTGCCACCAAAAACACTGAACTGTTGGTCCAGCTTGGCAAAGCTGAAAAAGAGAGAGATACTCTGAAAAAGGAAACTGACTCCCTTCAGGATGAAAGGGATGTCCTTCAACTTGAGAAGAGCATTTGGCAGACCGAGCGCGATTCACTCAAGGATGAAAAAACAGAACTCCAGCGCCTTCTGGCTGATGAGCAGTCTGCTCGGATGGCCTTTGAAAAGAGAGCCTTGGATAAGCGTGATGCTCTACTCAATACCATCAGCAAGGTGAATGGTGGTATGCTAGTTCTTCACACTCGATTTTCAAGGGTTGGGGCTCTCAGATATGCTCAGGGGTACCGAGAGGGTTTCTCCGACCGTATTCCTGCCGAAGGCCAGACCGGTTCCACTCCGGACGAAGTTGATAAGGATCTAGAAATTGATCCTCTAGGAGTCTATGTTGATCCAGACTTCACTCCTGCTGAACACATTTTTGATGAGTGTCAGGAGATTGCTTCCTCCAGGGTCACTTTAGCTCCCTCTGTCGTTCAGCCCCTAGATGTTCTTCCTCTGTCCACTATGGTCCCTACCTCAACTGCTACTGAGGTTAAGCCTCAACAAAATGACTCAGTTATTCATCTCAACTCCCCTCCTCATGAAGATGGGACGACCAACGAAAGTGAAGAGATAAGTCAACGCAATCAAGAGGCTGACAGAACAGAGGCAGCTAGCTAGGACTCTTCTGATACTTTAATTTCCCGCTTCTTTATAGTTATATCACCTGTATATTTTATCTTTTGTAACCTCAAAACATATCATGAATGAGATGACAAAAACATTGACTTTATCTGTGCACGGGTGGTAACAACCAGTTTCACATCTATCTATAGCAAGTGTTTGGCGTTCGGCTCATAGTGCCAGCTGCCACTTACTTTGCGTAAGCAAGTGCCTGGCGCTCAGCTAGAATGCCACTTGCCACTTGGCTTTTCATTTATTAGCAAGTGTTTAGCGTTCGGCTCATAGTGCCAGCTGCCACTTACTTTGCTTAAGTGCCTGGCGTTCGGCTCATAGTGCCAGTTGCCACTTACTTTGCTTAAGTGCCTGGCGTTCGGCTAGAATGCCACTTGCCACTTGGCTTTTTATTTCTTAGCAAGTGTTTGGCGTTCGGCTTATAGTGCTAGTTGCCACTTACTTTGCTTAAGTGTCTGGCGCTCGGCTAGAATGCCACTTGCCACTTAGCTTCTTATTTCTTAGCAAGTGCTTGGCGTTCGGCTCATAGTGCCAGCCGCCACTTACTTTGCTATTTTTACTTAATCAATCTCTTGAAGAGGAATATTACTTTTATAAATCTCATGAACTTATACATTTGCCTGTATTCAATTGAAAATGAACAAAATTCAAAATTGAAGCTCAACTTTTTATTGATTATACCTCTTCAGAGACGTAGCATTCCAAGGCTTGTTAACCAACCTTCCGGCCATGGTCTCTAGGTTATATGCCCCATTTCCTATGACTTCTGCAATTCTGTATAGACCTTCCCATGGTGGCATCATCTTTTTGACCATCCCCACCTTCTTTTTCAGAATCAGATCACCAGAAATAAAGTTTCTATGTTTAACCCTTTTGTTGTGACTATTCACCAAGGTCTGCTGGTAAGATGCGAGCCTTATTGCTGCAGTATCTCTTTTTTCCTCCACCATATCAAGGTTCAACCTTAACATACTGTCGTTCTAACTTTGACTCCATGTTAAGCTCCTGATAGTTGGAACCAAGTGCTCAACCGGTATAACTGCCTCGGTACCATACGCCATTACAAATGGACTCTCCCCAATCGGCCACCTCGAGGTGGTTTTGTAAGCCCACAGGACATTTGGGAGTTCGTCCAACCACTTCCCTTTTTGGTCCTCCAGCTTCTTCTTGATGCAGGCAAAAATTGTTCTATTTATAATCTCTATTTGTCCATTGGCCTGGGGGTGACTTACTACTGCCAACTTTTGATTAATTACATACTCCTCCAGTAACTCTCTTACTTGATTGCTGTCGAGGTTAGTCCCATTATCCATGATAATTAACCTCGGAACGCCAAAACGGCAAATAATATGGCTCCAGATAAAGCGTCTCACGTGAGTCTGAGTCACGCTCGGATATGGTTCTGCTTCTACCCACTTAGTAAAGTAATTCGTGGCCAGCAGCACATACTTGTTCTGAGCTCTCGCAGTTTGCAGAGGACCAACCACGTCCATCCCCCATTGTGCGAAAGGCCATGGTATGGCCATTACGTGCAATTCCTCAGGTGGTTGGTGGATCAATGGCCCGTACCTTTGACATTTATCACACCTTCTAGAGAACTCTTCCGCATCTCTTGACATATTCGGCCAAAAGTATCCCTGTGTCATTGCTTTGTGAGCTAAAGATCTTCCCCCGGAATGATTTCCACATACACCTTCATGAATAGCTCGCAATATCTGCCGAGCCTCTGTGGGGGTGACGCACTTCAAGTACGGCCCAGAAAAAGATCTTCTGTACAGTTGGTTATGCACTATGGCATACTTTGCTGCACTCATTTTGATTTTCCTAGCTTCATCCCTTTATTCGGGCAGAACACCATCTCGAATATAAGTAATGATTGGATCAACCCAACTCGGCTCATACGGTATGACATTCACTTGCCAAGGGCCGGAGTCTGAAGGTTCTTCGAAGATAGATGGCTGGCTCAGTATTCCGATTGGAATCACCCTTGCCAATGTCTCCCCAGAACTCGAAGCACTGCATGCTAACCAATCCGCATCTTCGTTATGTTTTCTCGGTAACTGGATGAATTCAATTTTCTCAAAGCCTTTGGCCTCATACAAAATGGCAGAACGATATGCTTCCATCGTTTCGTCCTTGGTTTCGTACTCACCATTTACCTGCCGAACAATCAACTGTAAGTCACTAAAAGCAGTTAGGTTTCTGACCTTCAGCTCTTTGGCTAACTTTAATACATTCAGCAACGCCTCGTATTCTGCTTCATTATTAGTGGCTCGGAACTCAAGTCTGAGCGATTGACTCAAAGATGTACCCTCTGGCGTTTGTAATTTAATCCCGATGCCTGCCCCCATCTGATTGGAGGAGCCATCTATATAAAGTTTCCATGAGCAACGTCTAAGGTCTTCTTCCGTATCTTCTGAATCACACTCCAGTAAAAAATTAGCTACTGCTTGTCCTTTGACAATTGTTCTGGGCTCGTACGTTATGTCAAATAAGCTTAACTCTATGGCCCATTTTGTTATTCTCCCCGAGAGATCTGGCTTGTACATGAGTACTCTGATTGGAAAAGTTGTCAGAACGACTATAGGGTGGGACTCGAAATAATGCCTCAACTTTTGCTTTGCATTGACGAGTGAAAGTATCACTCGTTCGGCTTTCGAGTATCTTCGTTCAGCCTCGGTCATTATTTTACTAACATAAAACACCGGGTATTACACTCCTTCCTTACAATGAATCAGAACGGCACTCGTCGCAACACTGGATACCCCAAGATATAAAAATAACTTTTCTCCCGGATCCGGAGCTGACAAGACTGGTGGACTCTGCATATATTCCTTTAAATAAGTCAGTGTTTGTCGTTGTTCATCCCCCCAGACCTATCTTCCATGACTCCGTATTGTGTCGAAAAATGGCTTGCAGCAATCTGACAACTTAAAGATAAATCGGCTTAATGCAGCTATTCGACCCGTGAGGGCTTGTACTTCTTTGATTGTCTTCGGTTCCGCATTTTTGGTCAAAGCTTCTGCTTTAGCTGGGCTAGCTTCTATTCCTCTGTGATGAACTACATGTCCCAGGAATTGTCCAGAGCTCACGCCAAATGAACACTTGGTTGGATTAAGCCTCATTCCATATCTTCTCAGCACATCAAACACGTCTTGAAGATGTTTCAGATGGTCAGCTTTGCTCTTACTTTTCACCACCACGTCATCAATATAGGCTTCCACGGTCTTCTCTATTTGATCCTTGAAAATTTTGCTAATAAGCCTTTGATAAGTTACTCCGGCGTTTTTTAGTCCGAAAGGCATGACTTTGTAGCAATAGGTCCATCGCTCGGTAACGAAAGAAGTTTTCTCTTCATCTGCAGGGTCCATGGGGATTTGATTATAACCTGAGTAAACATCCAGGAAGGTTAAACGCTCGTATCCTGTGGTGACATCTACCATTTGATCAATCTTTGGCAGTGGGAAGCTATCCTTCGGATAGGTTTTGTTTAAATTGGTGAAGTCAATGCACACTCGCCACTTCCCATTCTTCTTCTATACTACAACAACGTTTGACAACCAATTGGGATAGTGCACTTCTCTTACGAATCCTGCATCAAGTAGCCTATTAACCTCCTCGGCTATGATCTGGTTACGCTCTGGCGCAAACCTTCATTGCTTCTGCTTTACAGGTTTGACATTGGGATTGACATTCAATGAATAACAGGATACCGAAGGACTAATTCCAGGCATATCTAGGTGACTCCATGCAAATACATCGACATTGTGAGATAAGAAATCAATTAATTCCTATTTCTTCCCCTCGATAAGTCTTATTCCCACTCTGGTGGTTCGCTCTGGCTTAGACCGATCGATCTGCACATCAAGAAGGGGCTCTTCGGTCAAGTCCATAGGCTCATCCTCCCCATTTTGCTTGGGTGGAGGTTCCTGTAATTGCTATCTTGGGCTCGCCGAACGGATGGGCGCCTTCCCTTTCCCGGCACATTTCATTGTGACGGAGTAACATTCCTTAGCTGCAACCTAATCCCCATGAATATCAATCACCTTGTTTCCATCGGGTCTGAGGCATCTCATAACTTGGTGCAAAGTTAAGGGTACACCTTGGACTCTGTGAATCCAACCTCTACCCATCAGGAGATTATACGAGGGGTGAATCTCAATAACGACAAAACTTTCCTTAAAAACTCTCACCGCAGCTTGTACTTCCACTTCTACCATACCGATGGGCTCCACCCTCTTGCCATCAAATCCTAACAAGGGATTTCCGGTGGGCTTGAGCTTTTTCAGCTTGATCTCAAGCCGATCAAATGTGTCCCTCGGCATGACATTCACACTGCTTCCGGGATCGACCAGAACTCTTCGCACCAGGCATTCTGCCACTGTCAAACTGACCACCAACGGATCTTCATGAGGGATTTGAACACGCAGCAGATCCATCCTGTCGAACTTAATTTGTGTTGATGCGCTCTACTGGTGCAGGGCATTCACACTGCCGACCCTCTTCTTCATTTGTGCTTGCCGAAGGCGCGTTCGGAGTAGCTCATCTGACTTCTCGCTAGGTTCAGGCCGACCATGAATTACGTTGATTATACGAACTGGCTATGAGTTACGGGAGCTCGGCTTCTGACTCCTCTTTACTTGCTTCACCGATTGATTCCGCTCTACCGCTGAGCCTTAAATATAATTTGCGAGTTCCCCTCTGGCTATCAACATCTCCACTTGCCTCCTCAAGTTCCTGCATTCATTAGTCTGGTGACCAAACTCAGAATGGAAAGCACAATGCTTAGTCTGATCCCTCTGTTCGAGGGGTTGCCGAATTGGTAGGGGTGGATGGAACTTATCTTTGTTTTCCTAATATAGCCTTGCCAGAGTGACCTTCAGCGAAGTGATCAACTCTTCCTCCTTAGGCCTCTTCTATGCTTTCCAGGAAGTCTAACACTACGGATGAGCCTACTTTTGATTGATCTTTGCTTTGAATTTTTCTTCGGTTGATATGACAGATGTTGTCCAAGCGTTGGCTGCCTCTTCCTCCTCCGGGCGAACAAAACCATCGGCTCTTTCATTGAGTTCATCCATAGTCATTGGCGTGTTTACTACCAAACTTGTGTACAACAGAGTGCCACGAGTCATGGCTAACTTGAATGCCTGAATAGCCATAGAAGGATGGCATTCAATCACCATGCTCTTAGTAAGGTTAAACCTGGTAAGAAAAGCTTGGAGACGCTCGTCTTTATGCTGCTTCATCGTGAATAGGCTCGAAATATCCTTCGGCGGACGCTTGTTCCCATAGTACTGGCTTATGATCCGATCGCAGAAGTTTTGGAAGCTATCAATTGAACCTCTTGGCAAGTTCTTGAACCAACTAAGCGCTGGTCCAGCTAGACTTGTAGGAAAACACTTACACATTAAGGAATCGTTCTCCGTATTCAAAGCCATTTTCAACTGGATATGATACACATGATCGATCGGATCAGTTGTTCCGTCAAACAGAATGAAAACTGGCATGGCAAACTTCCTTGGATGCGGAGCACTCAGAATTTCATCAGTAAATAGTGAGTCAACCGTCCGAGCTGCTGATCAGAGGGCTTCATTTTCCCTCTGGAGCCCTGCGGTAGCTCTATGAACTATAGATCTGCTTTCTGAGCCTCGATAATCGAACGTAGCCATGGAAGGCCGATAAGATGGATAGAATGATCGTTCCTCCATGAACTCTTTTAGCCAAGGCGATGCAGCTCTGTGGCGACCAAACTCTATTGCTTCCTCTCGGTTGAGCCTTTCTTGGCGTGGATCGAAGGTCGTGGCTTCGTTCCGTCTAATCTGTTCACGCCGTGGATCGACATGAGTCAATCCTTCATGATCCTCAACTCGACAAGCATTTGGCGGTAAATCATCTGGCCTCACTCCCTCACGGTGGGGAACCGACTGATTATTCTCTTCCTGCTCACCTTGATGTGCAATATTAGATTGAATACCTCCTTCAACCGCCGGAAGTGGACGCGAAATCACCGGAATTTCTTGATGCTGTATTCCAGCTTTCAACTCTGTATTCTCTCTTCTAAGAGCTTCGATCATGCTCATCAATTCCTCAAGTTTCATCTGCTGGACAGTCTCCATCGGATTGGAGCTTTCACCTATCATTATTCCTGAACGGAGTAAAGGCATTAATCTCAAGTTCTTCATTAGATCTGAGCTTTGTGAATGCGGATTGCTTCAGATCTGGACTCAAATTCCCCGAATTATGCTCACGGTTCACTAGATCTGAATTTTGCTAATCCTGAACCCGCCAAATCTAGCCGCAATCGAACAAATTGATGCTGCATAGATCTGACGCCATTCCCTTCAAAGTAACAAGAACCAAAAAAAATTCAGAATAGAGCGCAATCTCTCATAGCTAAACTCAACTCCCAGAGATTGAGCTTCGTCCTCCCGAATTGGTCCGAATCAACGCAATGTTAATCAAACACGGATCAATCTTCAACGATTCCCACAGACGGCGCCAATTGAAGATGCAAGAAATTCAATTACCTTTCTCTCTCTAGAATTCTTACACTTTAACAGAATGAAAACTAAAAAACCTCCCTTTCTCTCTACTCATATTGTCTATTTATAGATCATTACAAATGTTCTAACTAACTTATTACATAGGGCTCTTATTATTGGGCTTTCTTCGTTTTGGGCCTGACCTCGTTATGTAAATCTCAGACGTTGGGCCTAACTTACAGTGTTGCATTATGGGCTGAGTTCAACCGTTCGGTCCGATCTTTCTTTCGTGGGTGTTGGGCTCATTATACTACCCTTTTTGCTTGGGCTCGGACCTACTACTCAACCTGATGCTCTACCCGCGGGTCGGGTCTGGTCCAGTCCATCTTTGATATCCTCATCTACTGTTACAAAGAAAATTTCTCCATGCTGATCGTTGAAATCCTTGAGGTTCATTTTTTTTTTCATTTTTTCAAGAAATTTTTCCTTAACTGTTATGAGCAATGAAGTAACATAATTTTCCACTATTGTTTTCTTTTCTTTTTATTTTTTATTTCTTGTTTTATCATTATTATTTTATTTCTTTGATAAGCAAGATATATCACTTAAAAAGGGCAAATGGCAAAAAAAAAAACCCTCGACTTTCACCCTTTTGCAAAAAATACCCCTTATGAATATTTTTAGCAAAAAATCCCCTCAACTATCTTGAGAGGGTGACTTTAACTAACTTCCGTTTAAATAATTTGCTTAGCCATTTTTTTGGACAAAATTGCCCCTTAACAATAAACAACTTTTTTATTATTATTTACTCTCTCGCCACGTCAGCAAATTCTTCATACTGTTTAATTCATTCAATAGTGTTTCAATATTATAATTGAATCATATATTTTTATGTAGATGAGCCTGTTGAATGTAAAGAGAGTTTCAATATTATAATTGAATCATATACACTATAATACTATATACGTGTGTGAAAAATAAATCAAATTTATTTTATTTACTTTTATCCTATCAGTATGAAACCATATTATAAGTCAAGTTTATTTTATTTTATTATCCTATCATGTCCATATGATAATTTTTCCCTAATATCATCTTAAATTAGTATGAAACCATATTATATGTTTATGTATAAAAGGGTATTTTATACGAGCTTGCATAAAAGTTAAATAATTATAGTAATCCCACTAAAAGTAATGATTGTGTTGTCTTCTTCTCAAAACGGACAACCACCACCACCAACAAAAAAAAAAAAACTCAAAAATTTAGGGTTTAAAACTCCTAACTATAAATTTTTGAATTTCAGTCCAAACCTGCATGATCTTCTTATAGCTATTAATGCGAGTGAGTGAATTGCATGACAAAGATGAATAAAATCGAGAGTCGGTGAATTATTTCACTTAGTGTAAACGAACATATTCAATGCCAATTTTGGTTGAATCGCTTGGTGTAAATCAACGAGTCAATTCTATAATTTTTTTAAGAATGAGTTCAAACGTGAACAAATGGAAATAAAATTCGTTTTAGGCAGTTGATCGGTTAATCAACTATACATCAACCTTCGCAATAGCACGAATCATTGTAAAATAGGGCTATTGGTCGGGTAAGTCGAACCATTGGGACTGCGCTAATCTATGGCAACCTAAGTGTCTAGAGTCATTTTAGAGTGATAAGGGGTGTTCATAGAGGGTTTGTTTTATGGTCACTAAACTAGGAATTCAAAGTGCATAAAACAATAGTGTGCTAGGAAGTAAAGAGATAGAACAATAGAGAAGAGACTAGGGAATTGACTTCACCACAAGCCATATAAACATGCCTAATTGCAATTAACTTGGGGAACAAAGTATACATGCAACCATGATATGTAGAAATGCAAGACAACTACAATATCTTCAAGAAGTTCACACATTCAAGAATTAAGTATAATCCATCCAAGGTTGGCATAAGTCATCTATCTAAACTAGGGTATAGAATGAAGTATCCTTCCTAAGCTATGAACTATCAAAGTCCTCAATTTGTGTGGTAAGTGCACATAAAGTCTAGAACTAAGCCATAATCCATCAAAGGTTTCCCTAAGCCATGGAATATCAAATTTCTTAAACAACATGCCATTAAAACCATTGTATAAACTCATCTTCATTCTCACTATAAAGATGTAAGTAGCATAATCATGAAGAAGCAATTTCTAAGACAAGATAAGAGTCTCTACAAGATTAAATATGGAATGAAACACAAATACATCAAAGTGTATCTCTAGATTAGACAACTTGTTACATAAATGCAAAGTTCCCCAAATATAAACACAATTAATACATATTTACTTGACAAAGGTTACATCAACTCCCTAGGAAGAGGTTTAGTTACCCATGGTAGCTCTAGATAAAGGAGGAAGCAAGGCCTCCAACTCCATTTTCGTGCTCCCTTGTGTTGGCTTGAAGAACTCCTCTTTTTTGCTCTCTTCTCTCTCCTCTAATCTTGTAGAATGTAGCTTCATGTATTGTGTGGCTTCCCTCTCTTATCTTCTAGAGATAAGGCTCTAGAAACCCCCACCAACCAACATCTCCAACCAACCATTAAAGAGGGAAATTAGAATTGAGGAACCCAAGATGCAAGTGGCTGAAAATGGGCCATTTCTGGATGGAATTCTGCCCTAATTTCGAGCACTCGAAATAAGGGCTCGAGCACTCGAAATTGGAGCAGAATGCTCCATTCTTGCCTTGCTCCGCCCGGACCTACGTTGAAGAAATGGCCATAAATTTGCGCTCCAAACTCCGAATGACAAACCGTTTGAAGATTTGGAGAGCTAATTCAGAGCTTTAAATACTTCATGTTTTGGTGGAGATCCAATTCTCAAGGATGGTTGGTCGAAAATGAAGATCAAGGCAAAATTTCATTGCTGCCAGGCAGTTCTGTGCACCTCTGGTAACAAGGCCATAACTCTCTGCTCCGAACTCCGA